CAACTTATCACATTGTCATCTCAAACTTAGTTATAAGTCTTGTCCGATTATGAACACATAAGTTTTCTTCGATTTTCAAATATCTTACCTTTTAGAGTAAACTAACTATGCTCTATTGGTGTACTCTTATTATGGCCATAGATTTTTTGAACAAACATTCATTGAAGTTCAATGTGATAACTCCTTTAGTATACAAGGAATTACATGTCCTATCTTAGTCATTCACCTACCTCTATTAGATTTCTAGTGCATCTAACGAATCGCCTACATGCAACCTTTTACTAGGTCCATCAAAACAAGTGTCAAAGTGCATAAATCTTCTAATGAGATAATCATAATGACTTCAAGTCTAAAGACCAGTTAGTACCTATCTCGTATAAGATTCTCATAGACTAAACCAAATGGGTTTTCATGACGAGTTAAGCCTAGTGATATCTTCTCTAACATAAATCATGTATATGCTTGCTTTGCCATTATCAAGTCAATAGGTGTAAGATCTCTTACTATTATCGTATATCATAAGCATAGCACTTATAAGTCTAACCACATATCGTCAATGTCCATTTTTGACAATGCTACTACTTGGGACATTTAATGATATCATTTATGTGCATTAATATTTATCTCACATCTTTCGATCAATCACTAATGCAAATACATATCATATGGACTTTTATCTAATTATATTTAATCAATAAATGTAAATGAAAAAAATTAACGAAAAAAATTCTTTTAAATAATATAAATAATGTAATAATATAATAACTCAAACCCATCCAAATATGGTTGGATCTTGAGCACCTATATTAATATAACCAAGCTCAATACTCGGCTCTTTGGTGATGGTTTGCTTCAACTCTTCAAAACCTTCTTAACACCATTCACTCCATTCTCATCTCTTATTTTTTTCAATAAGTCGGTGAGAAGGGATGCCTTCTTCGAGTAGTCACGGATAAAATGATGATAGTAATTTACTAATCCAAGAACAAGTGTGAAGCTTAGCTACCTTGGTTGGCTCTTTCCATTTTGAGATAGTTTTGATTTTAGCCTCATCCATTTTCAACCTTCCTTCATTAATCTTGTGTCCTAGGAAGAGTACTTTCTCTTGTGTAAAGGAGCACTTCTTCCTCTTGACGTATAACTCATTCTCCCTTAGTACCTTTAATATAATACATAGGTGTTCTAGATGCTCTTCCAATGTAAAGTTAAAAACCACGATGTCATCAAGATATACCATCATGAACTGATCCAATTATGACTAAAATACCTTATTTATTAAGGTGTGAAAGGTAGCCGTGGTGTTTGTCAAGCCAAATGACATAACAAGGAACTCATAGGAACCTTATCTTATCTTTGGCACATCTTCAGCGAGTAATTTGAACTTGGTAATACCACGATCTCAAATTAAGCTTGGTGTAAAATCAAGTTTTTTCTAACTCGTTTGAATAAGTCGACTAGCAATAGAATTAGATATTTGTTTTTCACCGTGACCTTATTTAATGTTTGATAGTCCACGCACATTCTTAATGATCCATCATGCTTTTTTGGAATAACACAAGCTAACCATAAGGTGACTTGGAGGTTTGTATTTATCCGACCTCCAACATAGCCTTTAATTGCTTTCTCAATTCCTTTAAATCGAAAGAGTCATACGATGAGATGTCATGGTCGGCGGCTTGGCACCCAGCACCAACTTTATTTGGTGATCGATCTCTCTTCTAGGTGGTAATTATTTCTTGGGCAACTTTATTGGCATCACGTCATTAAATTTGGCTAGTATATTGGCAATCTCTTTGGGTATCTCTATACCCTCATCATCCACGAGTCCTATTTTCTTTCAATGTTGCAAAGTAGATGACTTCTCTTTTCTTAAAGCCATTTTCATTTACATAGTTGAGAGATGCTTCAAGTTCAATCTAGTATGCCTTTGGTCGGCACCATGCATGGCAATTCTTCCTTCATAATCATCATTTGCTCTAAGTGAGGTGTAGGCATAGCTTTCGCTTGTTTAAAAAACTCCATGCCTAGCACAACCTTAAAGTCATCCATCGTGACAATTGTGAAATCTAGCATCTCCTTCCAAGTGTCTATGGTCAAGGTTTTCCTCATGTGCTACGTCATAAGTAGACTTAGGGGAAGCATTTACTATCTTCATACTGCTTGATGACTTACTCACTATTAAACCGAGTCTTTTGGACTTATCCTCGAGCATGAAATTATGTGTAGCACCCATGTCTTGCATAGTAAGTGTAGCCTTGCCATTCACATAAGCTCATCCTTTAGTGGCACCTTAGATGAGGGCTTGACATTCAAGGCATTGAGTAGTCGCAACGATCCCATATGCTTCTCATGCTCGAAGCACATTCCTTCTCATCCATCAAGGCATTGAGAGCTCGTCGCTTCGGGTACTCTCTCTATTGATGTGGCACATTGCAAAAGTAGCAATGCTTGGGCTTGAATTCTCTCTTTTCATGCTTTTTGACAAAGCTTTCGAATTTATGTGCTTTGTCCTTCCCATCTTTACACGCCTTCTTTTCATAGGCTCTCCCAAATTTACCCTTGAAGTCTTTCTTAGGCTTGAAGAGTTCTACCTTCTTTTTATACTCAATTAGAGATTCAACTATGGCCACAACTTTGGTAAAGGTCTTGGGCCATCAACCTCGCACTTTTTGTTATTCCCATGGTTGAAATCCCTTAATAAAATCATACATATGATCATAGTCGTGTTTGCCACATACTTGAAGTTTAAGAGAAGCATATTCTTGAACGTACTTATGAATAGTTCTTGTATGCTTCAACATTCGTAGATTATCTCGCATTTTCCAATCTGCTTCCTCTGCGTGGAATTAAGCACATATAGCTTCTTTGAATCCATCCAAACTGGATCATTCTTAATTCCTCTCTTTAAGCTCTTGGTGGTTCATATGCCACTATAGACCAAGCATCCTCCATAAGGTAGAGAATAGCGATCTTAACATGACTCCTATTCTCACTCAAGCCCACTACCTCAAAGTATTGCTCTACTTGCCAAAAGAAGTTATCGACTTCCTTCGCATCCTGCTTGCTAGCATAATGCCTTGGTCTTGGCGAGTTTAACTTTTGGTGTGTTCCTCAAGACCATACCATTAGAGGTGGCTAATCCTTTCTAAGTTGTTCAAGAGTTTACTCATACCCGATTATAGACTCTTGATGTTGCTTGAATATTTTCTTCGTCCATTCCATGAAGGCCTTCTTTTCGGTAGCATTCTCTTTGGCACACCTCTTAACCGTCTCCACTCGAGCTTGGAGATCGGAGAGCACCTCACATAGGCCCGCCATACCTAGTGTCTCCCCTCATCATCACCCTCTATCTTCTCGAGTCTTTCCTTGAAATCGGTAAAGTGTTCCTTCGTCCTTAAGAGCCGTTCCTTCAAGGCAACCAACACATCACGAGACTTCCTACTTCTCTTCTTAGGTTGAAGTGGTAAAGCCTCCTTCTTAATATCTCCAAGCAACATTCTCAATGCTAAAGGTAGACATACTTACTCTTTTGAATACTTAGCTAGCTACAAGTTTAATCACACCCGATAGAAACTCGGCTTTGATATCATTTGTCATAGATTTTGCCTTTCCCAAGCTCTCGTGCAAGTACTTGGCTCACTTCTTTTCTAAACCAAACCAAGTCGACCTTCCCCAAAAGTTATTAAGCATGAAAGACACACACAAGAGAATAAGAACTCTTTATATTGCTCTCTCTAAAGCTTACAATTCTAAGATTACACTTCCTTAGTTGTCTTGGTCAAATGAAGGCGTCACTTATTTATAGTCATCTATCTCCTCAATGGACAACTAGGATTTATTTGATCTAATAGCTACGATTAATTTTCTAGAATTATCTTATCTAGATATTTACAATGAACTATTTAGATATGTACAAACTAGAATAATGAGGGACTCTATAGAATTATTTTGGATATGTTTAGATTTTTCTTGGACATCTTAGAGGCTTTTTCATTGCTTCATAGTCTTCTAAAGGCTTCTAGGCTTATTTAGCATTCTCAATTAGGCTTCAGAAAAATCCTTCTTTCATGTGAGACGTAACAGTAGGCTTTAGATTTTTCAAATTCGAATAATTGGCAAAAGGATCATCAATATCACTTGGATAGGTAAATGAAGAATGGGAGAGACTCAATGGAATTAGATTTGAGAGAAAACTGCAAGGTGCTAGTTGTGTACTTCCTAATTCTTTGGAGGGACGCCGTGTCGATGTCCAAGGGAACATTTATGCTTTTGGCGTTCTTTTACTGAAAATAATCAGTGGAAGACCTGCATACTACAAGGACAAAGGGCGTTTGGTAGATGCTGGGTTAATTCAAACAGAAATTTTATTTTTTCTAGATGACCACAAAAATATGATTGAGGGTTATATCACATGCATTATTTTATGTCAATTATTAATTTTAATCGAAAAATTAATCGAAATAATTGGAAAGGTCATATATATATATAATCTGATGGGACCAATAAATAATTAATGCATTTAAGAGAACAAATTATACTGACTACTGAAAACGATTGCTCACAAAAAAAAAAAAAAAAAAAAGGTTTAATCTCAATTAACACTCGTCAAACCGAAAACACAAAGTGGTAACCTCCAAATGCGATTCATGATGCCATTGGACAGTTCTGCTGACCTAAAAATTTGCACTTGGAGGAAAAAGTTGTGCATTATTTTCTTCTAAGGTTACTTTCTAAGAGTGCTGAATACATATACAACTGTATCAGTTGCATACATCCTTTTAATACATAAAGCTAATAAAGCAAAGTAGGGAGGAGTGTAGAAGCAGGGGTAAGTTTATTTTTTCCATTATGCACATGAGCTCTAAATACAAATAGCAGTACATAGTAGTTCATCGGACCTAACTAATACAACTTGTGTCACAAATTGAACAGCTTTCCTCTTCACTTTGCTCACATTCCTAACATCATATTGACAATCCATCACAGTTACCGCACCCACTTCATAACTCATCATCAAGAATGGTAGAGAGCAATAGTCCTTGGACAAACTCTGATTTCCGGGACTTCTCCTCTTGGTCCTTGTCTGATAGATGTAGCTGTTGTTGGACTTTCCTGTTGGCACCAAACGGATGTTAGAAATCTTGAAAAAGAAAAATTCCACAGCATACTGGCAATGCCAGAAAGCAGTTGCAGATGAAGTACAGGTTACATGGTTCAAGTTGCATTTATTCCCTTTAGCTACCTTTCTGACAAAGTGATACTCTTCTCCAACAAAAACTGAATTGGGCCTAAGTTTCTTGCTCAAAATATCTTGTAAATGTAAAGACTGAAGGATCATTAACAGCCTAAGTTTCTTGCTCAAATTATAGAATTGGCCCTATACAAGCTTCAATATCTTTGGATTCAATCTTCTGAGACTGATAACAGAGTCTAGGATCCTAAATCGTAGTCAGCACAAATTTTATGCAGCCAGTAAAACTCAAACTCCACAAATCATTACCTAATCATCGAGAGAAGACTATCATGGCATCAGCTCTACAAAAGTTCCATCCATTACCTTCAATGGTTCAAGATCATAGGAGACCGGTCTTCTGAATCTAAACCGAGAAAGAAGCACCTACTCTGCAAATTGTACACTGATCCTAAAACATTGAACTCCATACAGCATTGCCTACTAACAGAATATTTTTTTCATTTTAAGACATCCTTACATTATACATTCATCAAGATAATAGTTACATCAAAGTTAAAAAACCATGCAAATTTGCAGTAGTCAATCTTATTCTTGGTTTAGTTACCAAGATAGATTCAAGCGTTAAAGGGAAAAGAATATAATGATCAGGGAAGAGGCTAACACATTCAAGCCAGTCAGATATCCAGTCCCTTGTGCAAACAAGTTTACTAAGTGAAACATGCAGGCATTTTAGGTCAAATCATGGAAACCAAAATACAGAATTTCTTTGAATAAATGAAGACCAAATGCAGTGACTTAAATGGAAAAAAAGATGTGAGTGATCATACTTTTCTAGAAACTCCTCAGTTGTGTTCTCCTTCACTTTGCTTGCTTCAGCAGAAGAAAGAGGTTTTGCATTCAGTGGTTCGTCAAAACCAGGTGGATTAAATATGAAAGGTGAAAGCAATGGATCAGGTTCTGTATTGGAGGAAGAAACAAAGCACGTGGATCCACCGAGAAGGGATTGTAAACTTCCTTCTCGCAGCTCTTTTCTCAATATAGAAAATGCTGAGTTAGCTCCCCCTTTTCGCAATCTCCTCTTACGCTGCACGTATCTCTAGTCAAGGAACTAAATGGATCACTATGACCATACAGAAAAACTAACAAACAAATTGGAGCATTACAGATATGTGATTAAATTGCTTAACTCAAAAGCATAAAAGTGCAAACAAAGACTGCTTTTGAAACAAAGCTAAAGTACTTATTCAGAAAGGAAATGAAAGGAGGAAGGAAATTGATATAACAGAGAAGCGGATACAAACCAATTGTTAAAACACCGTGAACCGATAAACTAACATGATATGTGATTTACAATCACCCCTACGATGTTGAAAGTTTCCATTAAACCTTAAGAGATTCACTACAAAGATTTTCAGTTACCAACAAAACCTAGTTCGCTTGTCCATAAAATTAACTTTTGAGCCACATAAATATAAGTGCTTGCTTGAGCGTACACACATCCAGATTAGAAAAATAAATAATAATAAATAAATAAAAATGAACCAACATGTTAAATGTAACTAGAGTCAGATTTGACATAAAAGGATATCTTAAAGAAGTTCCCATGCTGCCCAGTAATGTGACTAACAATGTCCATCCCCACCCTTTTAGCACAAACTGGACACACCTGAAAACAATCAATTCAGACATCATCTCAGTAATCGTCTCCAAACAACACATGACTAGAAAAGAGCAACTACTCCATAGTGTTAAGAAAATGACAAATTTGTACTCCAGTAGACAATTACAATCCTAAGGCGACAAATTCACACAGTTAACCAAATAATCTCATTCAAAATCAAACCACATAAATTTTACTAAAACCCTTTTTCCAAAATCACAATTTAACACTAAAGAACTGATCTTTTTAATTTACATCCATCAAAAGAAGTTGGAATTAAAAATAAAAAATAAAACAAGAAGTAAATGATAAAAATATGATACCCCATTTTTGGCTTCAACAGGATGCTCTTCATCGATGTGGCAAAAGAGACCAACAACATCAAAATCCTCGGCGCAAAACGGACACAAATACTCTGCTTTCAAATCCTCTTCTGCTTCAGTCTCTTCATACAGATCTAACACCACAAACCCAACAAAAAGGCTCAACTTTCACACACCATTTCTCATAAAACTTAGGACATTATAAAAGAAACGAAAGATTTTAAACAAACCAGATCGAGTGTGACATCTTCTTGAAGAAGTTGAAAAGCGAGAAGCCCATGAATCAGAAGCCATTTTATTTTATTGGTTTCTCTTTTTTGTGATCAAAAGTTCCGATTTTCACGAAGATAAAGAGTAGAACTTCTGTGGAGGGGAGATGACTGTAATTGTTAGAGTAAATAAAGGGCTTAATAGGGATAAAAAAAAATGTTGAAGAAAGAACTGAGAGAGAGAGAGGGAGCGAGAGGAAAGGAAGAGGAAATTGCAGGAGAGAGGGGGAGCGGAGAAACACTTCTCCACCAGCCACTGGTACGTTTTTCAGCCCATCTTTATTGAAAGTTTGTTTGCAAATATGGGCTTAGATATTTTGTTGGATTGCAGAAATGGACCTCTGCCTGCCTATGAAACAACTAACTTCATGAGCAGGCAGTTTGTGTCATCTCTACAATTTCACTGGACCATGTTTTTTTGGGGGAATTATTCGCCGTGCAGAGAATTGCAGTCCGTTTAATTTCTGATATAAAAGTTGTATCCGTGAATAATTTTCATAATACATTTCTTGTTTACATGAGAGAAAAAATATTTAGAGCAGGAAGTATGTTGGATTTTTTATTTTATTTTATAACTACTGTCCACATTATGTTGCGAGAGGAGCAGGGTGGTTTGCGGTTGTAAGTTGAGTTTTACTTATTTCAATAAGTTAAAAAATTAAGATGTAAGACTTCATATAAAAAATTTGTTTGATAATTTAAATAATCTTATATTTAAAATTTAAATTCAATCAAAATTTATTTAATTAGATAAGTTAAAATTTTTAATTAAAATTTTTTTATTAACATACTCGATTGAAAGATTTTTAAAACTTTTTAAATATAACTATATAGTCCTTTATATATATATATATATATATATAGCAAATAGAAGCAATTGTATTATTAATTACTAAAAAATAAAAATGGATGCCCTAATTGAATGTTTTAAATATGAAAATAAATGAATATATAACCTAAGTTAAATTTATGACTTCGGTATCTCGATGTAACTTTTGTTTCCATCTTCCACTTCTAGTAATTTGATTGATTTATTGATTAATGATAAAATGCGAGTGCATTTTGATCCGTTTTAGTAGGAAAACTACTATCATCGTCTCGAATCACTTCATTTCCAACATGAATCTATTGGATATGCAACCATATTCATTTATTAGCATTCTATTTTCAATAACAATTGAAACATTTTAACTCCTAAGATTTCATTACTTTTTCTCTATCAACTAATCAATTATCGAGTCTAATATACAAGCATCTATCCGACAAACAAGATGCAAGGATGTTCATCGATGTAATTATTATTATTAGCATTCCATTTTCATAATCATGTAATTTCTATGCAATAAAATATGCCATAAATGATGGAATTTGGTGCTTCAATAGAGCTATTATAGATCGATATAAAAAAATATATCTAAACCGACATTGCCCACATTTAATAAATTAGAGACTCAAGGCAAACAAACAACCAAACATAACCATTTATAAATATATGCCTTGCACCACACAGATCCTAATAACATAAATCGTTATCGTGCTTCTCCATCCAAACCACAAGATACTAGAGTTCTACATTGAAACTCAAAACTACTTTATTCTCTCTCTTTTTTTTTTTTTTCAAACAACAAGAATTTACTATAGGTTCCAACAATTAGGAAACAATGATTTTAAAAACAAAAAAAAACTAAACAAAACAAAACTAACCTACACTACAACCCTTGTTTGAAAGCAGATTTCAAAACTTTATTTGGAAATAGCCTTTTCACATGACCTCACACCAAGACATCGTTTAATTTTGTTTCTTTTCTTTCTAATCATATTAGAACCATACTTTTTAGCCTTGATTTATTACAATTCAAACTCTGTAATTGTCAATTTAAGCCATGGATAAAGAACCATCAAGAAACCAAAATGGATCGATAATAAAACACTTGCTCTAGTTGTGAATTGACAATTTAGAGATTTTTGAAACTCGTATCACTCAATGAAAAAAATATCATAATTTTTTTTTCTTTTCAAATGCACATCTAATTTTTTGTTTACTTTTTTGAAGCACATTCATTACACAATCGAGCCAAAATAACCTATATAGACATGGCATTATGAAGGTGGTATTTGACATTTACATAATGCCCAAGACTTTAAGGAGGACTGTGTATGGCTTTTCATGCCCAAAACATGAAACAATTCATTTCAAACCCATCTCGTAGTACACGTATTTCCAAGTCCAATAATGGTTTTTTTTTTCCTATCATAATTGCTTTAGAACTTCTATTTAATGCTAAAATAAATAAAAAACGTTAGACAATTTTTTTATTTATTATAGATACCACTTCTCCTACATAATCCATGATGAGACATCGCAAGTTAGGATGTTGATCGATAAGGATATAGATTTAACATATTTTGACTCTATAGGCTCACATCCGGTGTTCAATTATGGATGGATCGACAAAATATAGTTTTGTAGCTGCTAATCGATGCCATCAATAGATATGAGATTTTTTAAATCCATTATAACATGTTATTTGGTGCAGTATTGGACCATCAATTCATTGCAATTCATGCCTTTGATGACGATAACAAAGTTATAAACCAAGCCAATTTGCCTCCTCTACAAAATTAAAAGACGCTCGTTGAGTACATATCGGCTACATGCTATAACCGGAGGACCATCATCATTGAACCATGAAATCCATCACTTGTCTATGTATAGCTTTTAATAAGAGTAAATTATAAATTAGTCCCTATCGTTTTGAGAAACAAATTAATTAGTCCATCCGATTTCAAAGACTAATTATTATTATCTTTCTAACTAGCATTAGCCATAACTAATTTAATATTTTTTTATTCTATAAAATATTATTTTTTTCTCATCAATATTTTCATATTTTTACTTATTTTTAAAAAAATCAAATAAATTAAAAATAAAAAAAGATTAATTTATAATTTACTCTTTTTAATAATCTAATAACCTTTCTCTATATTATTGAGCAAATATGCTTAGAAGAAAAAAAAAAGGAAATAATAACTATCGAAAAAACATATTTTCATCCGCTCACTAGAAAGATCTCCACATACAAAAACACATTGGATATGAAAAAGATAGTCGAACATATTAGTTTTATGATATTATTATATAAATTATTTTTTAACAAACATGCATGGATGAAAAAAAAAGAGAATAATAATTATCAAAAAAATATTTTTTTAATAAACCAATCATCCTTCTTTATATTATTTAATGAACATCCATGGATGAAAAAAAAGAGAATAATCACCGTTGAAAAAATATATTTTTCATCCGCACTTATAAAGATTTTCATGCATAAAAACACATTGTGTACAAAAAAAGATAGTCAAATACGTTAGTTTTATGATATTATTATATAAAGTATTTTGACACTTCTAACACAAATTAAGGTAGTGTTTGATAAAACTAAAAATTAAGTGATGATTCCGTTAAGTACTCGAATTTTAAGTGTTGAATAATTAAGTACCGAATATGTTGTCGACAAACTATTTAGTATTTATTGAAAATTAAGTGTCGAATATAATAAGGTTATTTGATAAGTATTGTTGTTGAATATGTTAAAGCTATATATATGACAATTTTAACCTTGCAATTGTAATATGATATTTTTTAACACAAATAAAAATATATACATAAATTTTTTTTAAAAAAAAAGGGTATAGAGAAAACGTAATAGCTAAATTCTTACAGCTAGCCTTTTTTAGGTTGGGAGGATTCTGTTATTTTTAATATTTACACAATTGAAGGTCTATGGTAACATCTCATCTATCATTTTGGTTCAACCGCGAAACAGAGTGACTATGACGAAGCAACAGTTTATCAATGTAAAATTCAATATAGATGCTAACATCGTTAATGGTGAAGTCTTGCCTCTTCTCTTTTGGATTCCAAGGAGCTCATCTCTTTATAGCTTTTAATCTAAAAGTGACAATCTTCCGACGCTACAGACTTCTTTTAAATAGTTCAAATAGTTGTTTTTGCTCTTTGTTGATCTTGTTTATTATCTTTTCTTATTTGTGACTTACTATTGATAGTAGTATATCCGAGTGTTATTAAAGCCAAAGTCCTTAAGATTGAACTTTCCCTCATTAATGGACCTCTAAAATAACTAATGAAAAGGCATTTCTATCTTGGAAAAGATGATGCCTTTCTTGAGAGTAATTTCACTACATTCATACATGTATGGTCTTCTAAGTGGTTTCTCACCTTTTCTATTGAGATTCATGCCCCAAGAGGTGAGTTCATAGGAAATCACTAGCTCACACTATTTGTATAATGCTCTTTTCAAAGTCTTAAAGATCTTAAAGAGCATTGGTACCCTCTAAAGCCTTCTTGATTAGGTTGTTTCTATATAGATCTTTCGTAATTAAAGGCTTGGAGCTTTCAAACATCTTGGCTTTCATTGGTTCAAATAGATCTAAAAGTCCAAAAACCTAGTTATTTTTGTTGTGTGTTATATGCCTTCTAATAACGTTACTTTTTATAAATCTTTTGAAGAGTGTACATTTATATATGGAATGGTTATCTATCATATTCCATCTATAGACGGTAAGTTAATTACAACTTATCTACATTTGCATATTTCAAGAATTTTATTTGTACTCGGGGATCAATACATGCTTTTGCGATCAACATATCAAATGTCACCACTTGTAACGTATCATCATTAGAAAAGTTACTTTATTTATCTAAAGTTTGGTTATCAAATAAAAAAATCATGTTGACTATAAAATATGTATCTATTGTATTAATATTAAGAAAATGGTCTTTATCTATACCAATTGCATCCCTTTTTTCTAAAAACTTTAAATTTTTAACCTTTATGAGATCTTGAATTAGGTTCTTGAATACTATGTAATTTCTAATAGCATGTCCAACCACATTATGCTATTTACAAGAGGTTTTTCCTTTATGCTCTTCTTTAGTAAACATTCTATGTTTTTTTTTTTCCTAAATTTCACTCTTTTTTATACTCTAACCAATCAAAAATTTGATTAATTTGGTTAATATCGAAAGAGTAATGTCTTTCTTCGGGTGGCTTAAAAGATTTTGAGACCTTTGCATTTTCCTTAATTAGGGTATCACAAACTAAAAGAGATTCATGAATAAACTCGGTCATATTTATTTTCTATAGAATTGGTTCATGGTAGTAGGTGTTATAAACCATGATTTTCTTTTCTCTTTTTTCTCTTAATGGGCTTTTATATCTAGCTACTCTCAATCCTAACTCATACACATTCTTAAATTCCATTCCCTTAAATGTTTTCTTGAGTTGAAACTCTAACCCTTATTGAGCTATTGTAATAAATTTCTATTCTAGAATTTTGGTCCAACACTTGGCCTCGGCTTTCATAAATCTATTTAGATATTTCTTTACAAATTACCTAATGTTACGTTTAACTCGAATTAATTCTAATAAACCTATTTCAAGTTCAAATTTTTAGAAGTAAGCTTGAAAAATGGATTGCATTTCACCTTAAAAATGAATGGATTTAGGGGTGAACCGACGTACTAAGAAAATGCCCCCTTCAATTAATGAATTAGGGAAGAACTTAAGTTTTAAGAAATATCTACAACTTATTTACATTGATAGATGAACATAGCAATATATTATAAGGCTATAACTAGGCCTTATTCACTAAACAAGGTAAAGTCGGGGAACTTAAAAGTGGATGGATATGGTGTTTCCTATCGATGTATTAAGGATATAGTCTATTGTAAGTAGGCTTACGCACTTATTGTATTCTAAGTCTAAATGCTTGCTCTATAAATCCTAATATGTATTCTAGATTTAGTTGTAAAGGTTAGATAAAAGAATTTTTTGACCCACCTCATTAGCGAGATAATCTCCACCTTCCTATATGATTTTTCCTCCTCCGTACGTCGGTTGTTGGCTTATAGTTTTGATTTCTTATTTCGCATAATCATGAGGCTCAATAGTAGGCTTTCTAAAGCTATCCGTAACTCGTTATGGGTTTTTCGTTCATGCTATGAAGGATGTCTAGGATCAAAAAGTAAATTATCTCTTATACCAAAGCCTCCTACATCTCTATAAGAATCACTATAAGCTTTCCTAAATGGATTTATCTTGGATGGGCATGTACAATCAGCCCATTTAAAGAGTTTCTCATCGATATGGTTTTCTATCTCTAAAGTTACTTGTTTGGAGATTTTGTAGACATTTTCATAAACGGTGTGATTAAAATCATTGATTACAACATCTATTCTCTTTTGGATTCTAGTTTTTAGGTGATTACTCATATCTATAAGAGTTTGATTCAAACCCATGCGAACTTATCATTTTAGGATTTAGAATGCGTTCGGATTATTCCTAATCCATATTACGACATTCTATATTCCCTTAATGTTTAACTTTGCTTGGTGTTTATATGATTTTACTAGTTGCTAACATTAACTCTTTATAATGGTTATCTATTAGTTTTGTTTTCAATTTGTGTTTATCCTCTATCTGTTAAGTTAAAGACTAACACTTAATTTTCTATGAATTTATAGGCTTCACTTGAACCTAGCTTAAAGTTGTATCGTCTCTCCTTAACTAACATTAGAACGTATACATCAACAACCTATTAGAGCCTTTTGGATTTCTCTTCATCTTGTAAAGTCGTCAATCTTCCAATCGTATATATAGATGAAACAAATTAACTTACAAATAAAATACTACAACTACTATATATGATTTTTTTGAGGTTTAATGTTGAAATGAGACTAAATTTAGAAGAATTTAGCAAACTACAATAGGCTTAGAGACCCTTGCAGGAAATTACAACCTCTCGAAGCTAGTTAGGTTGCAAGATTGAAGGGTGAATAACTTAAAATAAAAGATGAATTAATGTAAAAGTCAAGCTTTTAATCTAATATGCAATCTAATAGCAAGATTAAACCATAAAACTAAGAATTTAAGCAATAAAACACTAAGAATAAAAGTGTGCAATATATATGAAAACTTGACAACAATGAACTATAAATTTTTATAAAATGATATTGTAGTCTTTACAATACCGAATTGAATAAACTTACACTAAAAAGAAATTGCAAGTATCATAGATCGATGCTCCAAACATAATAATTGATGAAGGAATTGTGGATTGTGGTGATTGCGAGCACAAATAGAGAATAAAGAATCAATTACCAACCTATAAATTATCATTTACTAATTATCGCCTACTAATTAATGGCTACTCGGTTGCTATCTACAAGTTATAGCCTATAAATTATCACCTACTAGTTACTTCCTAATAAGTTTCAAGTGAGAACTTATAATAGTGCTTCTTGAATTATTTGCAATTTGTAAGAGTTTATTTGAATTTAATTTTATTGTGTTGTTCTCTTTAATTGCAACAAGTATTTATAGGCTCTCTGCTCCTCTATGACCTCTAATAATGGGTCACTCTCTCCAATACAAGCTTTAGTACTTCATATATATATATATTCACTACAATATATATATATTTTATATTTGTATAGAAAATGTCCTTTTGGCATTACATCTAGGTGAAAACAAAACAAAACAAAAAGTTAAGTTATTTTTTATTCAAGTTGGAAAATTTTCAAGTTAACATTGCTCTATTTTAGATGAATCAATCTCAGCCATCGCATTACTAAAGTAAATGCATATTACACAGAGATTATTTGCGGGAACAGTGTAGTTAACAAATAAAGCTATTTGTAGATATAATCCATGAGAAAAAAATAGTCAACAAGCTCTCGTGGCTCAGTTGGTTAGAGCACCCGTTTAGTAAGCGGGAGGTCTTGAGTTCAACTCTCAACGAGAGCAATTTTCATTTATTCTGCTTTTCGGTTAATATGGGTTCTGTGTCTGTGTCCAGTCTTTCCAGAATTAGCTGGAATTTGACAAAGAAGAAGAGGAGAGCATATCATTGAATGCCAACAAGTAATAAACTATGGCATTGCAGGAATGCATAAGTCCCAAAAAAAAAAAAAAAAAAAAAAACAATTAGTCTGGATCTTTAAAATCCCAAAAAAAAAAAAAAAAAAAAGGTATGTCATATATAAATATAAGCAACGAATTAAAGTAAAAAGTATATCATATGTATGGACTACCTAGATTTCAGCCTTTTTTTTCTTCGTAAATTAAATCTGAAGCCTTGAAAGCCCTTCCCAGCAGGTCACTGATTGTAAGATTAAGGTCACAAGCCAACCTCTCTAGGATCTCTGTCAATAAGTGCACATCCGCCATGGCTCTGTGTGCTGAACCTTGTAATGGAATCTCATAATACTCGCGGAGACCTTGGAGAGAGGCTTTTGAAGGAACATTCAATCCTGATATTTATATATTTATACACAGCAGCAGATTGAATCGGATATATGGTTAATGAAATGAAGAGACTAACAATTAATAAGAGAAGGAGGGAGGGAGGCTAGCTCTAACCATTGGATCTCCTCAATTCTCTGGCTAATGGAAGTGTGTCAAGGAATAGCCAATCAGAGGGAATATCCACCGAGCAGCGGCTGAATTCGTTGGTTAACCAAGGAACATCAAAGCCACGGGCATTATGAGCAACAAATAAACAAACCCCTCCATCTATTTGGCGACTTGTAATATATTGCATCAGGATTGGAATTAAGTCTTCCATTCTGCACCACCACTTCTTAATTAATTCACCCTGTATGCATTTCGTTTTTCAGCTAATATATAACAAACAAATCTAGTACTATCTTAAGTTACATACCTTGGCACGTCAGGATTGTTTACCATGCTAGTTGTAATACCATGAATGCGAGAATTTGGAACATGTTGCTCTGGATTAACCAGACTTTGGAAGCAACTGTTTTTTCCTCCTGAAACACACCTAAATGCAATTTCGATCATCCTCCCCGTCTTTACGTAAAGTCCCGTGGTTTCAAGATCCATGACAAACATATTTACATGTTGATTTGAAGCTTGCCCCCCAGAACCGTTTGCTCGGCATCAGAAAATATTATGCTTCCAAACTTCTCCAATGCGAATTTACTTGAAGACGTCCTTGCTTTCTCTGTTCCATCAAGGAATTCATGTCCGACGTTGTTTCCTGCACTCCTTGCAATGTTTGCACTACTTCTTGTCGATATAACGCGTTTCCTATTGACTTCCACTTTAGGATGATCGAACAATCTAAGTTCAGAACCACTTTTACAAGAGAGTATTCGTGAGCAGACAACTGTGGGCCGAGAAATGTCTACAAATGCTGATCGGTGGCACAAAAATAACTGGATTCTGCATCCGGATACATGCAGAATAGAGCGGCAAAGGGAACCAGCGCTCATTTCTGCACTCAATTACTATCTCACACACACACACACACAAACTTGTCTGAGTAATTCTCTACTGCATGGCCTAGTTCATAAGCTTTGTATGAAAAACAAGACCAGACAACGGCAGATCTAAGCAGCAGAATTCATCTTAATTTATCACAGCACGGGTGGTTTGTAAATATTTTCAGGGTTATTAAAATCAATGAACATTAAACATTGGCCGCAAAGTGGAAATAACTTGAAAAGGTGACGAAGATGTTACCTGCATGCGCTGCTAGTGCTTTAGATTTTGGCTCAAAATGAGCAACTGTTGTTAATCCATTTGGATAGAAGGGTATTTAAAGAGCATGGAGAGACATGGCAGCTAACAGACAGTAAAGTTAAAGGAACGAAATTGCGGATCATGGAAACTTTGAGGCCCCATAGAAGGCGGGTCGTGCGCATTTTCTTCTTTTACTGGTCACGAGCTAGGAAGATCATGGTTCAGATTGCATTGGCATTTGGCAACTGAATTTGTTTTCTAAGTTAATCTTCTTTTATAGGAGACTAAAAGGTCGACCAATTGTATTTTTATTTTTAGAATTGATAAAAATTTAACCGAATAAACCAGTTTTAAATAAAACATAATTGAGGGCCCCCTTGTTTTTATATATATATATATATATATATATGGAATAAGTGTTAATATTTAATAATTCATAATCACTTAGAAATGTTTTCTTACAACTTAAATAGTATCCCCCCCCCCCCAAGGTAACAAGAAACTTTGTTTTTGATAATTGTACTTAATTATTCATAACTATTACAATTATTTAAATAATTAGTTAAATTACGAGGAGATAAGATTTTTTTAAAGATTTTTTTAATGATTCATTTAGTGAATCTATTTAATAATTTATAATCATTTATCCGTTATGAAATAAATAATATTTACTTTTCATTCAAAAATAATGATATGCTTTTTATGTTATAATTATACAATAATATATTAGTAATTAGCATAATCATGGGATGGTTAGTTAAATATTAGTGGAAAAATAAATTTATAATACAATAAATAAAAATATTTAATAATTTATTACCTTAAGTCATTATAATTATAGCGCTTTTAAGTAACAACATCAAGTCACTCCCCATACAATTATGGTAGTTTCTTCTTGTGTTGATAATTGGGCTCTAACAGGGAAAGAATAGTTTTAGGTCTGATTTAATGAGCTAACGATGAGAGAGTAGTTTTGTTGCAACTTCCAGCATTGGGCTCTGATCTAGGCCCTCAGCGTTCGTTGGAGGCAGCACATTAACGATTGCCTTGGGGTTAGCAAGCGACCAAAATTTTCCCCTTTCATTCTCAAGTTTCACCAGGGAAAAGGGGGACTGTAACATCCAATGATGTAAGTTGACGTAGCAATCACAAGCAGACTCCAAATCGAACCAAAGATATGAAATTATTTAAAAATATAATTTTAATTTGATGAACTGTATTATATTAAAAGTCTATTAAAATATATTAATTTAAAGATAAAAAAATTAATTTTATAATTTTTTATTCTTACTTTTTTCATAAATTTTAATTTGTTATTTTTTATGTATTGATTTTTAAATAAAAACTTGTAATAATTTAAATAAAACGTTTGATCTAAATTTTTTAAAAATGCTTTAATATTTTTTCATAAAATTACATCAAAAAATAAAGTAATAATTAATATAAAAACTTACATAAAAATTAACAAATAAAGTTTTTTTCATTCTTATTTGATTGTGATGAGAAGATTATTTTTTAAAAAAAAATGTGCATTATATATATATATAAGCATTTGATGGTTCTTCTAAAATGTTGTTTTAATTATCTTATATATATATATATATATATATATATATATATATAAACGAGAAAATTCAATTTTTTTTTTTTTGAGATTCCAATCTACATCTTTCAATTATTTTATGACTTAAGCCATTATGAACACACTCTTCTCATCAAGATAAATAATATAAATGCTACACCAACCACAAAAAAAAAAATCAAAATTAGGGTTGATCGTGGTCTTCTTTCTCATTTCTCTGTATCTAAGGATCAAGTTATGACATCAATAAACTTGAAGACTAAAACAAAAATTTTGAAAACATCATGAACTAAAGTGCAATATAAAAAAACAAGCTCATATATAAATGCCTCAATATAGCCTAAAAATCACAAAAATACCACGGCATAGTACATATGAGCCTAAATAAGTAGTAAATAAATAATATTTTGGGCTTCCAAAAATAGGCATTTATTTTAAAATTTAAAGATGTGTTTTAAGTAATCCTAATCTAGTTAAAGCCAAGAAAAATACTATTTAATATTTTAACTAAAAGCTCTTACAAAAAAAGATGAAAATTGTTTAAATACCCAACCCTAAACTCTAGGAGTTTCGGGTACGGTGGAATTTCTCCTCCCAAGACCCAACCTCACTCTCCTATGTAGAATGGATTTATACAACTCATACTTAATTGTGACTTATTCTTACTTAATCCAAATAAATAAGGATTCACATTTACAATGACTTATTAATAAACTTTTTGTAGAAGATAGAAATTCACAAAATATATGAATTCACCTACGAGGAATTAATAATTTTAGAATTGAATACATAAAGTAAAACCTAGACAAAAAATTCAATAAATAAACAAAACTTACAAATTACAGATAGGAGCCTAATACTTTTAGTCATGGAGACCTAGAACATTCGGTCATGTTGAATGAGGTGACACTCATTTGTAATAATAAGTATCAACAGGATAAAAAGAGATGGTACTTTTAAATTAGTACTCCATTAATATAAATATGTAAATGTTATTTTATCCATATTTAGCACATTACATGTCAGAGTATTTTTAAAGGACCATTAATGGATGGGCTGGACAGAAAACCTGCTTTGTGCCCGGTTACTGCCATTCCTGCTACCTTGCCATCCAAGGGGACTTTTCAAGAAAAGATTAACTCAGAAATAAAAGGACCTGGAGGATACATGCCAAGTTCTCGTGGTGTTTCCGATCAGTTTCCGGCAGGGTTACGTGTGTTGGTTGTTGATGATGATCCAACATGCCTTGTGATCTTGGAGAAGATGCTTAGGACCTGCCTTTATGAAGGTATTTATGGAGATTCATTTGAATTATACTTCCAAAGATTAAGTTTTTTTTTTTTTTTTTAATTTGTTGTTTTTGGTGTTGGAGACATGAATTTGGTTTCATTTTGGGCGTGTTATGATTTGTATGTGACATATAAATGGTCATTTCTCCTTGTACTTGTGATTTTGCTTGTGAAGATATGTAGCAGTGTTTAGATTTGAGGGGTGGTGTCACATCTGTGCTATATGTTATGAATTGAAGTTCTAAACTTGGTTTAAGATTTTAGGAATTTGGATGGTATTACTCCTCTTGTCTTGGAGATTTGTTTGAATTTATCATGTCTGATGCTTACCTCTTGGTGACTGATTAGTAAACTTCCTGTGCAGTCTGTGAGTGTGTGCTAAAAGATATTTTTGATTGATTTAGTCTGTGTGGGAATTTCAGTTACAAAGTGCAATCGAGCAGAGATCGCGTTGTCTTTACTTCGAGAGAACAAAAACGGGTATGATATTGTTATAAGTGATGTCCACATGCCAGACATGGATGGATTTAAACTTCTTGAGCACATTGGGCTAGAGATGGATCTGCCCGTTATCAGTAAGTTTCCTGTCTCAGTTGCTTCGGATGGATTTAACGTCTATCTTATTAAAGAGTTGACATTGATGCGATATCTTGTGCATAATTTATGAACTGTGCAGTGATGTCAGCTGACGATGGGAAAAATGTGGTCATGAAAGGTGTAACTCATGGTGCTTGTGATTACCTGATTAAACCGATTCGCGTTGAGGAACTGAAGAACATATGGCAGCATGTGGTTCGGAATAGAAAGAACGAATGGAAGGATTTGGAGCAATCAGGGAGTGTCGAAGAGGGAGGAGATAGGCTGCAGAAACAATCTGAAGATGCAGATTACTCATCCTCAGCAAATGAAGGAAGTTGGAAAAATTCAAAGAGGAGAAAAGATGAGGAAGAAGAAGCAGAGGAGAGGGATGATACATCCACGTTAAAGAAACCACGTGTGGTTTGGTCAGTTGAACTTCACCAACAGTTTGTTGCAGCAGTTAATCAACTAGGAATCGACAGTAAGTATCCTAACCATATCTTTCAATAGCTAATACTACTTTGCTTCCTTATTTACATGCTCCTAAATGCAGTAACTTGTGTTTAGAGAAGCAGTATACATAGATATTGGGAGAACAGTATTTGGGGAAGTGTAAGCCATGATCATGTTTTTGGGTCTTCTTTTTGCTCACAATCAACTCATAGTTTTGACTACATATGTGTTACATTGGCATTACTTACGGCTCTCCATGCTGCGCCTTGTTGGTTTTTTTTTTGTAGTTCAATCCTGTCACCCAAATGTAATTTTACTTTATGTCGAACCTTACACCTTCATAGTTGTCTCTATTGGACTCTGTAAATTTACTTCCAATATTTTGCCCTCTTATATGTTTGTTTTTCTTATGTGGATGCAGAGGCTGTTCCCAAGAAAATTCTGGAGTTGATGAATGTTCCTGGGGTCACTAGAGAAAATGTTGCTAGCCACCTTCGGGTATAGGACAAATTTGCTTAGCATGGCATGTTTACTGTAGAATATTATGTATATGTTTCAATTATTTTTCATGATTTCTTTTCTGTTCTAGTTTAATTCATACACATCTCTCGTGGCTTAACCTTCCCCTCTCATTTTTGCTTACTATCCATCTGTATGGTGCAGAAATATCGCTTGTATCTTAGAAGGTTAAGTGGGGTTTCACAGCACCAGAACGGTATGGGCAACTCTTTTATCAGCCCACAAGAAGCAACATATGGAGCATTGTCCTCGCTTAATGGCCTCGACCTTCAAACTCTTGCTGCTGCTGGTCAACTCCCTGCACAAAGCCTTGCCACACTGCAAGCAGCCGGACTTGGTGGATCAACAGCAAAACCTAGAATGCCCATGCCAATTGTTGATCAGAGGAACCTTTTCAGCTTTGAAAATCCAAAATTAAGATTTGGGGAGGGGCCACAGCAACATTTGAACAATGGTAAGCAAATGAACCTACTTCATGGAATCCCAACCACCATGGAGCCGAAGCAGCTAGCCAACTTGCACCATTCAGCACAGTGCCTCGGGAGCATGAATATGCAACTCAATGCCCTTGGAGGCCTGAGTGGTCAGAGTGGTTCTTTGCTGATGGAGATGTCCCAACAGCAGTCTAGGGGCCAGATAGTAAATGAAACTACCAGCAGCCATGCTTACCGACTCCCGTCATCCGTAGGGCAGCCTATTGTCACTAATGCACTTACCAGTGGGGTCTTGGCAAGAAATGGATTAGCTGAAAATGGCAGGGGAATAGGATTTAATCCAGTTTCACAATCATCTCCAATGTTGAATTTCCCCTTGAACACCACAGCTGAATTGACAGCCACTAGTTTTCCTCTTGGAAGTGCTACTGGAGTGCCTAGTCTTACATCCAAGGGGACGTTTCAGGAAGAGATTAACTCAGAAATAAAAGGACCTGGAGGATTCATGCCAAGTTATGATATTTTTAGTGACTTGCAACAGCACAGATCCCATGATTGGGAGTTACAGAACGTAGGCATGACCTTCAATGGTTCTCAGCGATCCAACTCTCTGCATAGAAACATTGACGTGGCACCATCCGTTTTAGCTCATCAAGGCTTCTCTTCTAGCCAAAGTAACGGACAGAGCGGAAAAATATTTGTTGTAGGCAAGCTGATGTTTTCAGCAGGAGATGCAATGAATGCAGACCCTCTGACTACCTTCTTTTCAGTTGTGTTAGTGATGATGTTACTATGCATTTGTGTATTTAGCATTTATAATAGTTTTTTTAGTTTTAACTCACTAGAATAATTAACACTTGAGATTTTTAGCAAGGGATTTCAAGTTATTTTCTGGTGAAATAAACAATATGTTTAGATGTATATTTATGCAAGTGAGAAGGTGGCATTGAATTGACTAAATAATTTAGCTTGTGATATTCTAAATAATTTTTGAAATGTTGAAACAAAGTAATTAAAAAAATGAAAAAGAATTTAGAATATTCTTGCCCAATTTAGCATGTGTGAGATTCTATTTTTCGACGTAAAGGATGTTAAAAAAGTTGGAATGCACAATCATAATTGAATAAAAAGGGTGTGGCTTTGAATTCTCTATCATGAAAAAAAAAAAAGGTTTTTGTTTTGCATATTTGCAAATTAGATCCATATAATAGAATACAAGGAAAGAGCTGCCCATAATAGAAAATAAAGCATTGGAAAATAGGAATTATTTATCTGGATCATTAATCAATTAAAGAACAAATATAATTAGTATCAATGATAAAAAAAAAAATACATGAAAAATATAATGAGAATTATTAGAGTAAGAAAACATCCTTCCTAAATTCTTTTAATAATAATAATAATAATAATAATAATAATATTCTTGAATTGTACTCAATATCTTTTGATTATACAAATCGCATTAATTTAATTAGTAATCATATCAAAAAAAAAAAAAAAAAGTTATAGAAATATTTGACTCAATTTATTGATTATGTAAATTATTGGCATAAGTCTCAACAAAAAAATTGACAAATTTGTTCAAAATACTTCAATTGATATCTCAAATACAACCTTTATTACTTTGTAAAATTTGTAAATAAAAATTAATTGCAAGCTTCCAAGTATTATTAATATATTTTTTTAGCAATCACTCATAAATAAACATCACTTTATGATATATGTAATTGAGATGTATTTACAAATTTACAGGTATATATTGTCAATAACAATATCACTCATTAAAAAAAAAAAAAAAGAATAGTGCTATATTGTCAATGACCATAAGATTTATTTATTTATTTAAATAATTCCCAATAAGATTTAAGTTTTTTATTTAAAATTCAAACTCAATTATCAAATTTAATATAGTATTAGAACTTCAAAGAAATTCAATAGTTTTAGAGTTCAACAACTTTACATAGCCCAAAAGATAAAAGAGGAGTAATAAAAAATTTATCACATATGAATTAAATAAACAACAAATAAGTAATATATACCATAAGTTTTTAGTTTTATAAAAATAAATTATTTAATTTAACATGATATTAAATTTTTAAAGAAGCTACACAATCCATAAAAAATCTTAAAATCTAAATTACTTGACAAACCATAAAAAATTATAAGCTACAAAGGTATTTTATATCAGATAAAAAATAGATAAATAATATATAAAATTAATAAAAAAAATACTTGCCATGAAATATGAGTTTTTATTTATTTAATAGAATCTAGATTTAGCTATCAAATTTAATCCAGATACACTGTGAATACAGGCTTTATGCAAAGGCATGAATAATTTTCATGGTACACAAGAAAGCAGGCAGTAGCATATTAAAAACGAATGCATTGTTAAATACAATAACTTTAATCATCACTAACACTCCTCCGATAGGTTGAAGTCTGTTTGTGTCTGTGTGTGTCTCTGCAACTAAGCAAAGACGAAAGTGACTTAAGATGAATTGAAACAGTCTTTAGAGACAGAACTCAAGAATCAATGATAGGCCAGCAGTACAGATGTACCACTAACTTGTAAGGCATCTTTTCTGTGGTCAAATCGGTAAAGTGCTAGTCATAAAGATTTCTGTTCTTACAGTTCGATTACATTCTTGGTCTTTGGTCAGTACCCACCGGAACTGAACAGTATCAGCTAAGATTGATTAATTAAACCAAAACGAATCAAAATCAAAACATCAATTTTGTTTGATTTTTAATTAAATTCAGTCAAAAAGAAAAACCAAAACCAAATTAATTTCGGTTATTTGGTTTCAATTAGGTTTTTATTTTTTTTAATTCGGTTTTTACCAAAAACCTTTTTTAAAATGTTTAGAATTTAACTTTTGATGAGTTATTTGAATTTTGATAATTCATTTTACAATATATTTGAATAATAAATAATTTTTTTATTATTATATATTTAAATGTGGATTATTGGATTTGTATTTAGATTATGATGTTTTATTATATAATATGATTCTGTGCTTTAATATTATTTAAGCAAATATTATTATTTTTTATTTAGTTTGATTAAAAAAAATACTAACCTTTAATTAACATTCCTCATTGAATATATTAAGTATATATCTCCTAAGGGCACAATCAATTTGGTTGGACCTACTATCTTACAAGCCTAGTAAACTAGTCATTTATCGAAAGAAAAAAAGTTCTAAAATACTCGGGAAGTTATTATTGTATATTCACAATAATCATTCAATGAGTTTACTTTTGAAAAGAGAAATAGATAAAAAAAAATTATATCGAAATCTATAAAAAAAATGATAAGAATATTTTCGCTTAAATTCAAATTTTCTTTTTCAATTTTCTTTCTTATTTATTTATTTTTTTTAATTTTTACTTAAGTATTGATAATTATTCTTGAAGTAATATAAAATTTCTCGACTCAAATTTTATTTTTTTAAAACTTTTTCTCTCTTATTTATTTTTTATTTATCTCTTTTTTATAAAGTAAGTATTAATAATTACTTTTAAAGTAATATAATATTTCAATTTGTGTCTTTCTCTCTCTTACGTATGTGTGTGGATATAATTCCAGTTGCCGACTAGGACACTACACATAGGTTACTTTCTTTCTTTTTTTTTAACTAAACAGGCATGCAGTACCAAGCTCCACTTCAGTTCAATTATTTATTGAAACTTCCACTCATTATCAATGTCTCAAACCTTATTATAAATGGAGTTGAATATTGGAAAATAACCATACAGAGTTGTCAATGGATCGGATAATTTTGGATTTGAATTGTTTAATAATTGAATTGAATCAGATCTTATGAATTTAAATTTGGATTTTATAATTATTAATTTGAATATGAATCCTAATGGGTTATGGTTGGATTAAAAATCTATTTGATTTATCATTTAATTTTTTCTAAACAAATTATTGGTTATATTCAAAATCAAGCTTCAATGCAAAATAATTTTCAACTATTGCATATATAAAAAAATATATTATAATAAAATTTAATATGTTAATTTTTTTCAAAAAAAGAATCAAATATCTCACTATTAAAAAGAATAAAAATCAAATAATGTAGATAAAATTTTATATTAAAGATTAAAATTAATTTAAATTAGACAACGAGTATATATATATATATATATATATGAAATTACCTGTTATAAGCACAACTTGATTGGTATGAAATAAAATTCTAGTATTTTACAAATAACAAGTTTGAAATGGACAAAAATTCAGACTAGGTCAAGATTTTAAAAATTAAAAATACAAGCATAATACTAGTAATAATTTTTTAATTAATTTTTTTTCATATGCTTATAAGATTTTTTCCAAATTTAATTTGAAACTTGAAAATGATGAAAAAAAAAAGAGTCTTATCATGTAAGTGTTTAAAATAATAGTCTTCAATGTAAAAAACAATAAGAAACAAAAGTATAAAACATTTTTTTAACATTTAAAATAAATAAATCCTAAATCTAAACCTAGTGTCATATTTTTTTATTTTTTGTTTGATTTTTTATATATTTTTAAAATATTATATATATGTTAGAAACAATGTTACTATTGATTTTAAATCGGATCGACATAGATCTCTGTATTTGATCTATTTAATAAACATATTAATGAATTAGTATTATAATTGGACATTGATCATAAAACTTATATACTATATTTATTTAAATACATTGAATTCGGATTAAAATCCAATCTATTGGCAGATCCTACATGTAACTAATAAATAATCTATAACTTCGCAAACTTTATGCCAAATAGATTCTACACTGCTTTGAAATTTACTCGTAGAGCCCCCACCAAATGAATAGTTTTTTTAATAAGAAAAACCAATTTAATAATAAAAAAATCCATAAATATATTTTGATAGAGGGAAATGAATGTCAATTGGACACTTTTTTGCCCATGCAAGTGTAGAAAATATTGAGCATAAAGATTTTATGTGTCGACGTGGGCTCGTAAGAGAACGCGGGAAACAAGCGATCGCCACCGAACTAATTGGGGAGAACTAAGAAATCCTAAACATACTTGATCCATAAAAATATCTAGATTAGGGATCGATTACGGATAGGGAATATCTAACATAATTGTCATCTTGTCCTACCTACGGTAGAGCTGGATTGAATGCAAGTGAAAATAAAAATCTAACTTTTTTTTACTATGTTATGTTTCTATGCGTATTTGATCGAGTTTATTTCATTAGGATGGAGTAATAAAGTAATTTGGAATTTAGACTGATCTAAGACCAACACCCATACTCAAAGGAAAAAGGTGGGAGAGATTAGAATTTTGGCTAATCTTCAATAAACCTAACCTATATCGATAAGTAGGTGAGTTTTTAAAAATTGATAGCCTTTTATTAACATGACGGTGAGTCACCGACAACTTCACTCACACAAGTGGGAAGCCATTATCGACTTCGGATAATGAGTTTGAAAAGCTATCAAAAACTTCATCACACAAGTAAAAAGCTATCGGTAACTCCATTTTGCTTGAGCAAGGAGCAAAAAAATAATTTGAAAGCCAATGATAATTTCGTCACACAAGTGGGAAGTTGTCGACAGTTTCGTTACTAACGAACATAAAGCAAATAAAATGATTTTAAAACCACTAAAATCTTCATCACATAAGTAAAAATATATAATAACTTCATTTCCATAATTGGTTTTCTAAGAAAAATGATTTTAGGACCATTAATAGCTTCGTCCACATAGGTGAAAAATCACTAGTGGCCTGTTTTCTAACGAATAGAACACATGTAAAAGGATTTCAAAATCATCAAAGGATTTAAAAAATAAGTGAAAAGTTGCCAACAACTTCGT